CGTGATGAACTCCACAAAATTCAGACCCAAGTGGAGACCACGGGTGTGCTCACATTTTCTAACAACAGAATATTCAGTAGAGCCTGCGCGTTCCCTCCTCAGGAGTACAGAATGGGAATTTGGACTACATGTCCAAAACCTCTCTACTATCCTCCCTTCTCAATTCCATCAAAGTTTTTGTAAGAAACATCCTCAGAAACGTCTGTCTTATCCTCCTTCAAGGAGAGGGGCTGTAACTTAAATGTCTTTGTATCCACAAGAACTAACCCACACATGGTAGGAAACAGATTCCAAAAAGGGAAGTAAGCAACAGAACGTCATACAAAGAGCTAATACCCACATCAGTTCATTCCTAAATCCAACATTCTTTCTTATGTAACCCTGAAGTCCTCACCTGGGCTTTTGAATTTTTTGTTTGTTTTGAGGGGGTGTTGTTTTTGAACTACATTAGATTCTGAGCTCACCGCTATGTCCCTGGCAACTCACCAGAGTGCCTTACTACAAGGTTCACCAGCTGGAACCACCAAACCATCTTTTAAGGCTGTTTGTGGCATCTTTATTTTGCATTAACAAAGTTACATCCTGGCTCCACAGACGAGCTCAGAGAAAATCCTTGCCTAGTAAAGAAATTTCATGGGACTTTGTCACGTGGAAACATTAAATCATCTTTCTGCCTACTAAAAGCAGGGCAGAAACACACTTTAAAGAGCAAACAGGTGAGAACAATCAAGAAATTCCAAATTGTATTGTCACAGCATACAGTCCTCGAGTGTGTTCTTCTGTATTGTTCGTTCGTTGTGTTATCTGAGACTTCCCAATGCAAGGCTAAGCTTCCCATGAAGAGATTCTGGATCTTCAACATACTGGTATCAACCACAATGCCAAGGCCCCAAGAAATACGTGGTCTAAACTGGGTGGATTCCACACAACTTTTAAAAAGAAAAGAATTGGGCTTCCCTGGTGGCGCAGTGGTTGAGAGTCCGCCTGCCGATGCAGGGGACGCGGGTTCGTGCCCCGGTCCGGGAAGATCCCACGTGCCGTGGAACAGCTGGGCCCGTGAGCCATGGCCGCTGAGCCTGCGCGTCCGGAGCCTGTGCTCCGCAGCGGGAGAGGCCACAACAGTGAGACGCCCGCGTACAGCAAAAAAAAAAAAAAAAAAGAATTTGTCAATCTTACGAAATTTCACGGTTTTTTTTGTTGTTGTTGGCAAGAAAATTCCTTTCCAAGTTCAGATAACCAGTTTCTTCTTCCTCCTCTTTCCCACTAATTCTCCTCCCAACACATATATACACAATCAAACACTTCATGCTTGAGGCCAATTTCACTGCAGGCAGAACCTTAACATTTTCAGCAACGATCTGTCCCTCGCCTGCATGACCTGATAACCATGGCGATGAGCAAAAAGGGCCATTTACTTCTCTGAAGTGTAAGGTTTAGTTTGAGCTAGTTTTAAGTATTAGGAGGCCAAAGGAAAAAGGAAGTATTTCTTCATCTTTCCTGCTTTTATTACTGGTTCGCTACAAAGGGATAAACCACTTAAGAAATCAACGGTGGGGAAAATGTCTGTTGGCCATCGCTGGACTCTTGCTGAAAACAGAGAAATGTGAAATCTGCAGGAATCACTTCTCCTACTCCACGCTTTCTGAAAACACTATTCTCAGCAATGTAACAGGCTAATCACACCACTGGTGAAGTTATTTGAGGCCAGTTCTTTATTTTATAGAGAGCAAATGCACATTAGAAGCTGTTCTGCAACAGGTTAAAAGTGGCTCTCAGATCAATTACCAAAATCTACCTTTACTTGGTTACCACTTAGAGTTGCCACCAATGTGAATGACAGGGTAGGGGGGACCTGAGCACACACACAATTTAAAAAATTTTTTAGATGTAATGCAAATAACTATACCTAACATTCTTTCAGAAAACAAAAGAAATGCAAAACATGCTCAAAAAACAAGAAATCAAGTTATACTTTTCATAAGGCACCACCAAAATCCCTGGTAAATTAGAGTCCATATTATATTTAAGTGTCTCACTAACAGGTAAACAAACATGTAAGAGAATAATCAATAGGTCTTGAGGCTTACAAAAGACATTCCTGTTTAGACATCTTGGAGTATTGCAAAAGTAAGAATAAGCAGGACACATCTTTAAAAACCCGTCACATCCTTTCCCAGTGCACATCATTCGTTGCATAGTGGTGACTGGATATAATCCAGACCAAGAGAAGACTAGAATTCCAAAATATATTAATATCCATTCTTTCCTTCTCACGCTGTAAATACTAAATGCCATGGCACATCCACATTCAAAGTAATGATATGCCTTAATTAAAAACAAACAAACAAAAAAGTGGGATTTCAAAAGGTAAAAGGCAAACCAACTGCCTGCTTTTAAAAATTTATACTTAAGGACGTACTGCAAAAGCAACTTTTTACACACATATGAAGCCAGTTCATATGTGTACCTTTACTGAACCTGGTCACGTGTGGCTTAATTTGCTTAATTTTCCCACAATTTTCAAATCCCCCTTCAAATTGCCACTTTCTTCTTAAAAAGTGGATAATCCCTCCCTCTGAAAGAAGGGCTTTCTCAGTTTTCCCTTTCACCCTCCTACTTTAAGCACTGGCTGATATTCACACAAATGTACTGTAGAATTAAAATACTGCCAAGTAGGGAGCTTCTCTTACACCCACTGAATTGCATCAGAACCTAAAAATTAAGAGAAACAAACAAACAGACATTTCTTGGACACGTGTCGAAGACAAAAGTAGAGAAGTGAAGCACAGGTGAAATCGTTCTCATCTCACAGGTCAGCCCTCGCTGGGGTTTTTTGATTATTCAAGTACATCGCGGGCGACCCAGGTTTCACATCTGCCGTTTCAATTATCTGAAGCGTGACTTGCAGTAGCTGTTGTTCCATGATGCCCACGTATGAGTCAGGAAGAGCTGGGAGGCAGCAGCTCGGGAGGGAGCCTGGCCCTGCATCTCCACACATCTCTGCAGGGTCACTACAGGCAGTGAGGCCAACCCCGGCTGGAGGGACCACAAGAGAGCTGTCGTTGCACTTGCGCAGTTCCAAGGACCTACTCTTGACCTACCAGTTTTCATCTTCCTTCCTATAACCTTTGCCAAAATGGTTTATAATGAACGTAGTGAGAAATACCTTTGAAAGAATTAACGAATAAGTTAAAGAACGAGTGGTGCAGAACTGCGACTCTGAGGAGACAGGAAGGGTAAAGAAACATTTTAAATCAAGTTTTAATATGAAGTGTTACAACACCGCAGAATGGAGTCACGTTGTAAAATAAGTAATTTCCTCTAAGTGAAAAAAAAATCGTCATTTCTTTAACAGATGAATCTTAGTTCACTAATTACAAAATTACACATTTCTATATATTTTTCTTTTCTCTTTCTTTTTTTAAACTGTCTCTCATCTGTTCTCAGCCTTTGGTCTAAATGGTCAAAAGTCAGACCAAATCGTCTGTGACTTTCAAATAAATACAGAAAATCTCACAGTATCAATTAAATGATATATTTGAGTTTCAAAATGTCAGAAGATAAACAGGGAGCTATTCATGGTTAGAGAAGATAAACAGGGAGCTATTCATGGTTGGAGACTGCCTTGCGTTTTTCTCTCAGTCAAATACGCAGGCAAATACCTATTATGAACATAAATTATTCCCTAAACAGCCCTCTATCCATCCACCACACTCCAAGCAGCAGAGCACCTTAGCTGTCTTTCTCAGCACCTCATGCCCCTCCACTGATAGCTGAGGAATGAAGGAAAAACAAGATATTTTTAAATGTATTCCGGGCAGCCATCACTTAAGATTGCATTCAATTTTTAACCCACAAGCACTTGAAGACTTTTACAGAGAAGACCGAACGGCAAAAAAACATTGTGCTTTCTTCTATAATATCAACAAGATGAAATTCTTAACTAAGTAGTAATACCTTTATGTATTGAGAGACTGGCAAAAATGATAACTTATGAAACTGGTTACTTAGTTACCTTGTACTTTCCATTGAAATCTTAAATCATATACACACTTGAGATGAGATTTTAAGACCCATGCACACCAACACTTATGAACCTCTTAACAGGCCAAGACACTCAAAACGTTATATGATATTAAGGGAGAAATGACTAAAAAATAGGTAGTAGAACCGTAGAGAAAGCATTTCCAGAAACTAGATTTTATAGGAAAGGTTTTGCTTTTTTTAGTAAGATGCCTTGAGTTAGATCTCATACCCACGCAAACTGTGACTGGACAGTACATTTCACTTCTAGTTACTAGAAGACATTTCTTTAAAAGAGATCGGGGCAAAATGGGAAGACAAGACTAAAAGCTGCTCTCTGGGCCCACCCTGCTCCCCCCTTTGAAAAGGAAAACTGATGAATTTAAGTCAAACCACAGATCTTTAAACCAAAATAAAGGGACACAGGATAGTGAAGACAAAACACCATTTTTAGTTTGTTTGGTGGGTTTTGGGGTTTTTTTATCCTAAAAAAAAAAAAAAAATCAGTCCCCTTCTAATAAGAGTTTCCATACAGCTTACCTGACACCTTCACAAGGACACAGAACACAACAGGAGGGAGAACACAGCACCGTAGTTCCAAACTTTCACGTACACAACAGAGCTACCATCACAGACACAGTATGACCAGGTTTCCCCACAGAAAGGGACAAGTCCCAACACACAAACGAAATATAATTACCTATTTGAACAAAACCAAGATGGAAGATCTGGTCGGGCTAGGATGGAGAAGGAAGTGCTAACTCCTTGTACTACAAGGAAGGAATGGGATTCCTTTACTAAAAAACAAGACGAGAAAGCAAGCCCCCAAATGGATTTTTGATGCTGAAACTCTGTCATAAGCTGCTGGTAACAGAGAGAGAGAGAGAGAGAGAGAGAGAGAGAGAGAGAGAGAGAGAGAGAGAGAGAGAGAGTGTGTGTGTGTGTGTGTGTGTGTGTGTGTTCGTGTGTGTGTGTTCATATATATATTCATATATATATTCATATATGTATATTAAAAAAGGAAAAATAATCTATTTATAGAACAGTCAGTAGTCAGAGACATTTAGAAAAAAGTAAAAACAAGTCCTTTTTTCTTTTTTTAAAAAATGGATTTACTAAAACAACTTTGTCACCCAGAGGTACTCTAAGCCCACGTCCTCTGATGAAGCCACGTGCTGTGCGACAGCATGTGCCGCGGGCCACGGTCAGAAACGGCCAGTCCTGGAAACCACAGCCAGTGGGGGCCGGGCTGCAAGGCAAGAGCTGTTATTTGCTGGTCTTGCTCGGGGCCATGCCTGAAGCCTGGTGGCACCTGGTGCACTTGCGAATGAAGGGTTCCCCGAAAAGCAGGCACCGCTGTGGCTCAGTAAAACATTCTGACTTGTCTTCTTTGCTACCGCAGAAGCCTGGATCCACGTACCTGCTCTTCTTTAAAATGCAGACCCAAGGCAGCAAGACTTCTCAAAGCCAAAAAAAGCCTCGTTGCCTTGAAATAAAATCTCTTCTTCCCAGAATCCAATCTAGTCAGACTTCTGAACTAGATGCCATCCTCCTCCTTAGGAAGATGAGGTGATCTGCCTCTCAACTGGGGTTTTCTTCTTGGTACAAACAAGCACACGGAGCTGAGGTCTACAGGCTGTGCCACTACCCATGGCCTCTAACAGGACTAACTTCAGCCCTGGCCCTCTCCTAGCTGGATGTGTAGGGCGTCAAATGCCAGGGCAGAGTGGAAGGAAACTGCTACTCTACTCCTCCCCCACTGGCCTAACTAAGGAGATCCAAGTGATCAGCACCTCTGGATGGTGCTGGCTGCAAACCTCTAACTAGTACCAACTGGCCAGAAGCCGCAGCCTACATGCCCTGCCAGCACACCAATGCATTAATGCCAACCAGCCACCCTAGCACTCAAATGTCTGGCCTTAATGTGACAAGCAATCTCAGAGGAGACACGAACTGAAACACTGGCTGCTGGACTAAAGCAGACACCCTCGGCACAGATGTGCTGACAGAGAGCGCAGATCCCACGTCCATGCAAAGAGGAAGTCGGCTGGGAGGACTTGCTCAGAAGGCCATTCGTCTTTGGAAGCAACATTCTGAGTGGATGTAAACCACTCTACTGACTACGGTCTCTGTGTGGTCCGTTTTCCCCCATGTCCCAAACTAACCCAGCATCTGCTAACTGGTCTCTTTAAGATCCTCCACTGGTAGTTTGTAGCTCATTATGAAAGAAGGAGGTGGTGCTGGACCTGGGCTATCTGGCCCCTGCTTCTTTGCACAGTTTGTACAGATGTAATCTTCATTTTCAGCCATTTCTGGAGATACACCCACACAAACTTGGTGAAACCACTCATCACAGCCACCATCACACTGCACCCAGTCTACCTGTTGGAGACAAGATCAGGGAATGTTTAGGTTACATACACATTAAGCCTGGAATACAAGCAAACCAAAGAGCTTTCTTGACTTAAATGATAGCAAATAATTGGGATGCCCAGAGACAGACAATGACTTCTTATGGGGTTATTTTTTAAAGAAAGAAGCTGGGAAGTTAATACCCCCAAATTATTTTTTCTATAATATGTCCACAAAATTAGGCCTCTTAGGTACTCCATTACCTCATAAATACCTGGGGCTCCTAGTGAGGCAGAAACATGTTTGAGAAAATCTGACAAAAAAGGAACTTCTAATAGAGCAGCCAAGTAGTTTTAGCTAGTATTAACAATTTCTAGGCTCCAAGACAATGCAAGTATCAATCAAGAAGAGTACAATGTGAAGGCAATCCTGTGTATTAGCTTTATTTCAAAGAGATAAGCCAAAGTACTAAGAGCATTAAATACCTTTTTAGAAAAGCAGTCACATAGGCCACTTTTTAAACTAATATTTTTTATTCTTCTCTTCTTCCGTTACAAATACAACTCCCTATAAAAAGTTAGCAAATATCAGAGGTCAAATCTTACAAATTAGCCAATTAAAACAGTCAAAGACACAGGTCAATAGATCACTCTGAGGTTTAAAATTAAAGTCTGGGTAACTGATAGGTCGGTGGCAGATGCCAGGCAAGCTTTGACCCTTCAGAGAACATTGTGATTATAGGAGGCTAGAAAAGGCCTATTGTTTGGTGACTTTAAGCCTGGGGCATATAGTTAACAGTGAGGTGATTTGGGGCTTTCCTATTTGGCGGCTGATTGGGGTAGTTTTTACAGCTATGCCACTGCGGATTAGAACCTTTAAGATAAAAGAGCTATAACTTCACTAGCAACGAAGTCACTTACAACAATGAGCTTTGCCAGAAAACGGGGCAAAGTATGGAGTATGAAGGGATCAATTAAGTACTTCAGCACAGCTTATGAGAAAGAACAGAGAAAGGAGGTTTGGGCTATAGGGAAATGAGTCTCAGGAAAAGTGAGGAGTTTTCAAAATCTGTCCATATACTATAAAACTTATCAAAAGTGTGATACTCCTGGTTAGTAGTTTCCAGGTTTTTAGTAAAGGGTGGGAGAAATCATGTCAAAATAATCTTTTTGCTTTCACCGTTCCTAGAGTTCTGGTGTAAAATTTGAGGCAAGTCATTTAATCTCCCTAAGGCCCCATTTCTCCATCTGTAAAACAGAGATCAAGTCTTGCTCACAGGATTATTTAGAGGATCAGGTAAAATAATGTCTGGCAAGACACCTGGTCCACAGCCTGGGACACTGAAGGCACTTTTTAAGATCAGACTCCTGGCTCTACTCACTGTCCTACCTTCCACAAAACATTCTGCACCTTCAAGTAACTGCCTGCGGCACTACTTGCGTCAGAATCACCTGTTGCGTCTGTTAAAAGTGTAGCTGAAACCCATCCCAAACCCACAGACTCAGAATATCTTGGGGGACAAACCAGAATCCTGCACTGTGACCAGCTCCCAGGTAATTCTTAAATATTCTAAATTTGACCATTGCTGGCACTATGTGATCCTGCTTTCTGTAAGTTCAGAGTGACTTAATTACTTCCTAACATAAATTTTGGTTTTGTTCTGCAATTGTTTGTGTGATATTTAGCTTCTGAAGTCTGTGCAGTGAAGAAAACAACTGATCTAAATGTCCCTGCTGTGGCAAACTGTCCTGGAGACAGAAAAGGGAGACAATGACTCAAAAATACAGATGCTACCAGCTGGTGAAGATTTATAAAGTGCTAATCTGACAGGGGGTGAGCTCAGCCCATCTGTCCGGCTATTTGGAGCTAGTCAGCAGAACTGGGAGAGCTGTGCTTCTCTGGGCCGCCCAGCCTGGAGGTGCCACCCTGGTTATGACAACCCTGAGTCAACAGGTAACTACTCCTGCCTCCAGTTATCTAACCCAGTCCAGCCCCCACCGGGTAAGAGGGTTACCAATTCACCACTGTTTGCTGCCGAGAAAAGCGGCCCCATGTCTTTTAGAATCTAATTGTGTACTACAAACCCTGGCTTCCGGTCTCCCAAAATCGTATCTATTGCTGCCTTTCAAATAAGGAAGACAACATTTCCTTTTGTGATTTTGGCTAGAGGTCCATTCCTAAGCCTAGCTCTCCCACCATCCCAAAACAGTATGTAACTTTTCTTGAGATGCTATCCCAGCCTACATGTTACACAACAATTTACCCTAACAATCTAATCTAGCAGGGGAAAAATAGCCCTCTTGGACTTCCCTGGTGGTGCAGTGGTTAAGAATCCGCCTGCCAATGCAGGGGACACGGGTTCGAGCCCTGGTCCGGGAAGATCCCACGTGCCGCGGAGCAAATAAGCCCGTGCGCCACAACTACTGAGCCTGCGCTCTGGAGCCCGCGAGCCGCAACTACTGAAGCCCATGAGCCGCAACTACTGAAGCCCGTGTGCCTAGAGCCTGTGCTCCATAACATGGGAAGCCACCGCAATGAGAAGCCCACACACCGCAATGAAGAGTAGCCCCCGCTCGCCACAACTAGAGAAAGCCCACACGCAGCAACGAAGATCCAACGCAGCCAAAACGGAATAAATAAATTTAAAAAAATTATTTTAAAAAAATAGCCCTCTTTACGAATATCTTCCTATCATGTTCATCTACTTACAATCAAAATCCAGTTCTGCTTTTGTCTGGAATGTCAACTGAATCTGCAGACTATGCAGTAGCCTGAACACTCAAGAACAAAGAACTTGGCTATAACCGCACAGTAAGTTCTAAGAGTCATTTCCCCTTTCAGTATTTCTGGGAGATATACTTATCAAATCAAAAAAAAGTAATTACTGAAAAACTTCACAGCAATGAGCAGTTCAGATATTAACTGATAAGACATTTAACTATAGTAAAAATAGCTTACTGGGTTCGGATTGGCGGAAATGTGTGCTTAAATGAGAAATATAATGTTAGTTTGGCATTTCATGTTTTGCTATATGGTTTCGTATTTACATTTAAGAAAAAATATTTGGCACATTACATTTTTTGTTCATTTCTTAGCACATACTACTGCACTGGGAAAAAAGAAAGCCTCGTGATTTAGTGACAGTCTTAGCTTAGTTACCCACCTGAGCTCTTTTTATTTTGGCATTCAATCTCCTTTGCACCGAAGTTTCTTGCAAAAGCCAGATTTCAAAATTAAAACAATTTAATCAAGTATGACATATGTTCACAATCCCTGTGTATGTTTTTTTGGTGATCTTAACAATAAGTAACCAACCCTCCCAGTCTGCCCAAGATTAACAGGTTTCCCAAAACACAGGAATTGCGGTGCTAAAACCAGGAAAGTCGCAGGCAAGTTGGGACAGTTGGTTACCCTATCAGAACATCACCAGTTTATGTGTGTCTCTCATTCAGGTAATCCAACCTTTGATTACCTGTGCCAAAAGGAGATATGAATGATAAAGCCACTGATAACGCAAACACTTTTGCTGAGACAACTCTCCACAAAAATCTTTTAAAATCAGAGTGGCTGGGACTTCCCTGGTGGTGCAGTGGTTAAGAATATCCACCTTCCAATGCAAGGGACACGGGTTTGAGTCCTGGTCCGGGAAGATCCCACATGCCGCGGAGCAACTAAGCCCTTGTACCGCAACTACTGAGCCTGCGCTCTACAGCCCGTGAGCTACAACTACTAAGCCCGTGCGCCATAACTACTGAAGCCTGTACACCTAGAGCCCACGAGCCACAACTACTGAGCCCATGCACGACTACTGAAGCCCGCGCGCCCAGAGCCCGCGAGCCATAACCACTGAGCCCACGCGCCACAACTACTGAAGCCTGCATGCCTAGAGCCCACGCGCCACAACTACTGAAGCCCGTGCGCCTAGAGCCCGCTCTCTGCAACGAGAAGCCACCGCAACGAGAAGCCCATGCACCGCAACGAAGAGCAGCCCCTGCTCACCACAACTAGAGAAAGCCTGTGCGCAGCAACGAAGACCCAACGCAGCCAAAAATAAATAAATAAATTTATTTATTTTTTAAGAAATCAGAGTGGCTAACAAATAGTAAAAGTGAGAGACAGAAGTTTATAAACATAGTTTCTCTTTATTTATCGTGCCAAACTTCTTAGGGAGGTAGTAATGGGTAAGGAAAAAGCCCATAGTAAGAAGGTTAAAAAAAAGTAAAGAGGAAAAAAAATCTATTTTCATAAGGAAGATTAAATTTTTATTTTAATGCAGAAAAAATGTTACTTAAATATTAGCTTGAAAGAATTTGCTCCTTCAAGTTAACTCGTTTTACTCTTGGTACCAATAAGATTGAATGAAAGTGGCAAAGTTCTCGGAGAAAAAGATTCTGAACCTTAAAACTAATTTTTTGAAAACAGTTCTTCACTGTTATTTTTAAAATTAATTTCAACTTGAATTTGATGATGGAAGAGATAGTTTTGGGTTTTTTTAAACCTTTTACATTTTCTGATAATATTTTTCTTTTTTCTTTCTAAAACATCTTGAAATTGAAAGCTCCTCAGAATCTGCAGATTCGTAAAGAACACTGGGTCACAAATGTCTTAAGTCTATCACATCTTGAATAAGATATTTAACTTCTCAACACTTTGTGTTTCCTTATATGTAAAATAAAGATCAGATGAGATAACGGATGTGAAGAAAATGCTCTGCGACTGGAAAATACTATCTAAGTTAGGCACCCTCAATCTGACTTCCAAACCAAAGACAAACCACAGTGCACCAGGCGTATCCGTGTCAACTGCTGCTGACAGTGTACCTTCCGCCTCATGGAAACAGTCATGGAAAAGAATAATGAAAAGGATACTGGAGTAAGTAATCCCTCAAAGTGTTCTCAATCTGCACATTTTTAGGTAAAAATAATAGTAATTACTAGTTAGAATACATTTACCTAAATATAAATGAACCCAAGAAGTTGTGTGGGTTTTTTGCTACATGATATTTAAAGAACACAGACTTCCCTAAAAAACATTCTTTTCTTGTCATCCTTTTGTTCTGAAGATGCGTACCATGCATTAACTTGTTTTCCTTAGAGAAACACTATACTTCAAATTGAGAAAGTTGTAAAATTCTTTACCACGTTTCTAAAGAAACACACCTTCCATTCAGTAAAACTGGTGTCAGAAACAGACTTGGAGAACCATAAAAATTGCAAAACAGAAATGACGGGCAAAATGTTTATAATCTGAAATAATTTGTTTAAAATTAAACACATTACAGAAATACATCATTCATATAAGTGTCTTTCATGTAGCTATTGACAGGTTAAGGCACGCCTGCTCACCTGTGTATGTGTTCTGACAATTTTTGTACTAATCTTAACAAATTAATGTGTACAAATCTTTGTATGTTTTAAACAATACACATTTTCTCTAAATATTCAGCTAAATCTACTTTTGCTCCATCAAAATGCAGATGATAACTTTCCAGACTTTTTTTTTCTTGGCCATGCCATGTGGCATGCAGGATCTTAGTTCCCCAACCAGGGATTGAACCCAGGGCCCCTGCAGTGGAAGCGCTGTGGAGTCCTAACCACTGGACTTCCAGGGGATTCCCCTTTCTAGATTTTTTTTTTAAAATACCTATAATGTTAGGAGTAAATCCCAGGGTTCATCTGAAAATAATGATCACATCTTAACACTTAAGTTGCATTTTTGGTTAACTAGTGCTTTCATACAGATGATCTCACCTTACTCCTTGACCACCCTGAGAGGAAGCAGGACATGTGTTAACAATTTTATGGCAGATGAAAAAAAAACTGCCTGTAGCGTTTATATGCTACAGGAAAAGAACAGGGATAGTAGATGAACTGAACTGTATTTTACATGCTGAACAGAGGAGAGGCGAGAGGTTATTAAGTGAAAAGGAGAAAAAAAGAGAAAGGTTCATGAATGGATATAAACACTGTAGGAAAGATGATAGGAAAGCTTGAAAAAGAAACATATCCTGTTGCCAGTCCTCCAACTGCCATACAATTAGTTAAAGGAGGAAGAAAAGGGAGAAGGTCCTGCCAACACTAAGCTGCTAATACTTCAGATCCAAGGAGAAACAGCTAACCTGTCATCAGCCTCTTTAATAAACAGATTCAGATGAGAATAAACTCAAATGAAAGAGAAAAATAATACACGCACATATAATGCATCTACCAAAATGCTTCAAAATATTTATAATATAGAAAAATACTTACGAAACTAATAAAGCAGATACAAAAGTGGACAGTATGACATGATATAAAACAAACTATACAGGAAAAGAACTGGAAGGAAACACATTAAAATATTTACAGCTGTGGTCCTCGGAAAGCTGGACTAGGGGATATAAATTTTACTATATATTCATTTTCCAAAAGTGAGTAGAAAACCTTTAATAAGTATAATTTAAATACGTGTCATTTAGTTTTGCACTGTGTTTTTGTACTTGCATCTCAGTTACCGGAGGGGTGGGGATATTAGCGGAGAGCACCTGGTCTGGGAGCCAGGGTTCTACTTTCGGTTTTGCCACTAATGAGCTCTGTGACTTTGGTCACATCATTTACCTTCACTCAGTCCTGGCTTCAACATTTGTGAAATGAAGAGGCTGGACAAGGTGACCTCTTCAAGCTCTAACAAGTATTTAACTGAGGAGGAAAGTAAGGGAACAGTGATGCAGCTGTGTTTATTCTGTTGATATATTCAAATTGAGGAGCTATTAAAATTCTAAACATCAAGTGGTGTAAGGAGGTAATAAAATTAAAACCATGAATTTACTAATAATCTTGATGGGAACACTATAATAGAAACCTTCAGCCATTCAATGAACTAGGATTTTTCATAAAGTGCATCCGTCTTTCTCAGAAGTTTATAACATCAATTATTACCTTAAGAAAGACCACCATATCCTTGCTAATATTTAAAATCGAGGGCTGACATTTCAACAATAATACCTTTAAAGGTCTTTATTTTTTGTAAGAGATGTGAAAACCATCATATTCTATTTAGGAGAGTAGACATAGGGCTGGGTGTGGATAAGACACAGGCCAAAAGGGAAGATTTAACCCCCTAGTTTTAGGTCTTCAGAACTGATCTCAATGCAATTTGCCACAGCTCTTAGGATACCCGCCCAGGACTTTTCGGGCCACTGTGGTTAACTGACAAGATGTCTAGTCCCCCGAGGCACCCTGCAGGGAAGGGACACAACTGCTCTGAGCCCTGCTGCGCCCACGCACGAGACGCACCGCTCCTGGTACCACACAGCTTCTCTCTGCTCGGTCAGGACGATCACCACGTATACGATTTCTAAAACACAACATTTCTTCTACTAAAAGCCTCATAACTGAAAACGTTTCTAGAAACTGAATTAAACATGTGACGTCACAAGGCCAAACAGACCATCATTACCTCAAACCCAGGTGTGCCCGGCCGCTGCTCCACTTTCCCGCGCATACTTGGCGGGTACAGCTAGACTCACCTTGTCCTTGCAGGGCCTCTGGCAGTTCTGCGCGGCGCACACAGCGTTCTCGTCGTCAGACTCCTCTGCTCCTGACCACTCATACTTGGAGGGGATGTCCAGCACCTTCTTGTCTCTCCTCTTCTCCGAGCTCTCCTTCCCAAGTTCAACTCTGGCTGCAGCAGCCTTCTCCTTCTTTTTCTTCCTCTCTTCTTCTTTTGCTAGTTTCTTGGCCAGTTTGTTCAGCTCCTTTGATTTTTCCACACTTAATTTCAATTTCTTCTTTTTAGGTTTATCCATTTTCTTTAGCTCCTTGGGCTTCTGCTTTCCTTCGCCAAAAAGCTGTTCTTTTTCTAGCTTCCGTTTCCGTTTCTTCTCTGAAGAGTCCTTTCCTTTCATTTTTAATGGTTTCTCTTCCACGCTGTCATCCTTCGTAAGTATAAACATAGAAACAATTTTAAAGCAAGACATTTAAAAACTGTTTTATTCTCTTACATGAGGTATCAGGAATAGGCAATTTCATAGAGACAGGGAATAGAATATGAGTTACCGGGGCCAGGGGGAGGGAAATGGGATTTATTATTAATGGTACAGGGTTTCTGTTAGGAATAATTTTAAAGTTCTGGAAATGGATAGTGGTAATAGTTGTACAATATTATAAATGTAATTAAAACAACTGAATTGTATACTTGTTAACAGCTAAAATGATAAATTTTATGTTGTGTACATTATACCACAATAAATACTCTGAAGATATTTTAAGAAGGCAAATATAATATTCAAAGAAGATAACAGTAGAAAATAATGACAAGCCCTAAATAAAATATCTGACTTATTTTTAGCTTATCAGAGGGAAAAAAAGGCAAATAAAAGTGTCTGCATATATTAATATAGTCTGTAGCACCTCTACGTAACTGAGATGAAAACATACATAGAAAGCTAAATGTATACTAAATAATTATGTAATAACTCTTTGGGTCTCCGTTTACCAGTACTAAAGTTCTTTATTAACTGAGTAAGTCCTTGGTGGTTAAGAAGTTATCAAAACTGTCAGCAAAACACAAAATTTTATCCATGATCTCATTACAAAGGGTATGTAGTGACTTTCACAAGAAAACAGTTGCTGTCACGAAGCAAAAACACTTGCCTTTTTTTTCCTCAACTGTCTAATATTGTTGCTATTTATGTGCCAAGGTAGTAAACATTAAAGATTTTAATAGTAAAAGTGTGTCCAGTAACAGAAAGAACAAGGGGTAAGGTAGAAAAAGAAATATTGAAAAACGTAAGCTTGATAATTACTTAAGAAATAACACTTGAGAATAGATCTAGGTGGATAGATCTAGAGTCTGTCACACAGAGTGAAGTAAGTCAGAAAGAGAAGGACAAATACCGTATGCTAACACATATATATGGAATTTAAGAAAAAAAAAAATGTTATGAAGAACCTAGGGGTAAAACAGGAATAAAGACAGAGACCTACTGGAGAACAGACTTGAGGATATGGGGAGGGGGAAGGGTGAGGTGTGTTAGGGCGAGAGAGAGACATGGACATATATATACTAACAAACGTAAGGTAGATAGCCAGTGGGAAAAAAAAAAGAAAAAGAAATAACACTTGAGAATTTATTTTCCCACAGATGTGATACTGGAATATCTTTGACAGGAACCTCAGAATCTGCAGATTCGTAAAGAACACTGGGTCACAAATGTCTTAAGTCTATCACATCTTGAATAAGATATTTAACTTCTCAACACTTTGTGTTTCCTTATATGTAAAATAAAGATCAGATGAGATAACGGATGTGAAGAAAATGCTCTGCGACTGGAAAATACTATCTAAGTTAGGCACCCTCAATCTGACTTCCAAACCAAAGACAAACCACAGTGCACCAGGCGTATCCGTGTCAACTGCTGCTGACAGTGTACCTTCCGCCTCATGGAAACAGTCATGGAAAAGAATAATGAAAAGGATACTGGAGTCTAACGCCAGAGAGAGAAGCCAGGTCTCCGTTTTTACTCCACGTGTGACCTCAGGCAAGTTTCTACGGCTCTGACCCTTATTTCTTCACAGGTAGAATGAGCTAGATACTCGCCATGTCTATCCTTTCCCCCTCCCCCTCAGGATTACGGTGAGGATGAATGTGATCATGGCTAGAACAACATGTATACACTGTATAAATAAGAAACTGTGTGATTTATAATTGTATAAAAGTGTGTAAATTGTATAAATGTATGTGGACTCCCCCTCCCACCCAATCCATTTCTATTTAACCATTCCCTTGCTTCCTGTTTTCAACCACTATATTGCCCCCTGCCTAACTTTTGGGCCTTTCACCAGTGTGAGTCTGGGCTAAGGAAGTTGTTCTCAACTTGTGAATTACAGTACCTCCCTTTCTTTTCGGCAGAAATGGCCTTTTTAAAAACTGAATATTACATAAAATCTCAATAAAGAAAACCACAAAGCAGAACTACTTTGGCTTAATGAGAAAGTAGGACAATCAGAGTACTACACACCCAGCCACCCCTTGTGGCAATCTGTGGTACCTCCAAGGAACTTGGACATTCTACGTGGTTTTAAAACCACTGTAAGTAAGCTTCAAATCCATACCTCCATGATATGCAGGAATCTGTCTTCAGAGGGTGGGTGTGTGGCCTGCAAAATCCGCCATATGTGTTGAGTCTCATCCAGAGACACCTCCAGGAGATCTCCAACCATCATAAGTTCTTCCAGCTGGGCTTTAGCTCCAGGCGATAACTCTAGCACCGGAGGCTCCAAACTACGGGGCACCAGAGGGCCCTTCCGAGGTTGTTTCCTTGGGGTGTTAGAACCTTTCCCCCAAAATATAAGACAAAAAAAATGAAAACTATTGAAAAAATGTAATGTTTTGAAAGTAAATATTTAGAAGAATGGTCCCTCCTCCTCCAACATTTAATTTAGAAGTTTGGGTTCACTGCATCAGTATGAAAGTGAAAATAAAATTTTAAAAAATACAGAACAGAAAGACCTAGAATTCTAATGACCACTCTAAAAAACTGGTTTAGAGTTAAAAAAAAAAACAGGTTCCTTATTGATTCTTTACCTTGTGACTGGAGGGGAAGGGGAATGGGAGAGAATCTCCTACCCCATGCTCTCTCCATTTCAGAGAATACCAAAAGACTAAGCATATAACTGCCCCATATGAATATTAACAAACAGCAATAATATGCTGTTCCATAAAATCCTGAATTTTACTGTGAAGAGAGAAATACTCTCCTTTTCCCAGAGGTGTGACCTAAAGCAGTCTGACTAATTTTCACTAGGGACAAAGAAAGTGAACATAATAGAGAAATTACTTACCAAGGGATGAAAAACTAACAAAGCTTTTCAAAACCAGAATGAATATTCTTAAATAGCAGCAAGTTCCTCAACAACCGGTAATAAACAAACAGAGGATAAATAACTACCTATCAGGGATTTGATCAAAATAAAATGGGACTAGAATGGGGCCACATGGCCTCTAAAGTCCTTCTAATTAGGATTTAATAATTCTATGGAAATTTTCAGGTTATGACCTAATGACAGAAGAATGCTAACAGAGACCGGCTTTTCCAGAGTTGCACTTTTTCAGGTTCTACCGCATTTCACTGCCAGGGTTTGTACTGAAAGAGATTCAGTATGGTTTCAGGCTTCTCTTCTCCATACCGCTACCAAGGGCCGTAATACCTTGAGAACAGCTCTTAGAAGCAGACGAATAAGCATGCTCAGCACAGAAGGAGGGTGCCGTCCACATGTGCGTGACCACCTCCTCGGACTTGATGGGAATCTCTTCATCACAAAAAAGGCTGGGCTCCAGACTGCTGGAGGATTTCACACTGGCTGTGTCCTGTAGAAGAAACGAAGCGGGCATGGAGAATTAGAAACAACTTATCCCGTGACAAGAATCTAAATACAGGCTTTCAGGTTAAAGTTTCTAATATAACACAGTATATCTATTTAAAAAAATAAATAAATAAAAGATCTTAAAATTAAATATATGGTATTTAGTAAGACAGAAAATGTCCATTGGAGAAAAAAACAGAAATCACCAGAGTTTCAAGCCAAAAGGGAAAGAAT